CTGCAGCTCCTACTATCTCTCTCGTTCACATTAATAGTTTGCAGCAAATCCTCCCACCTAGTGGTCACATTCTGAATTACACAGACACACACTCAGTTGTATACACAGGCACACTCTCTCTCTTCTACCTTTATGCAGAATCCAAAATCTGTTGGTGTGTTGTACATCTTTCTGTTTGTTATTGTGTAAATGTTACTCTCATTCACATCGGCAAAATACTGAAGGTGCCTCGGTTCCTGGTAAATAAATCAGAATAAGCATAACAGGAATATAAGGATGGGGAATTGGCCCAGCTGGATTGCAAAGAAAGACTATTTCTTCAGTATTTTCATTTCACTGAAGTACTTTACAATCAATTAAGTAATTTTTGAAATGTAATGCTATGATCCCAGCTAATGTTAATACTGGACAAGTTAGACTTCAAAATGAAACCGAGCTACATAAATTGCACGTTTAATTCGTGCAGTTGGTTAACGTGATGGTTAGTTACTGAAATATATTCACTCATGGCTGTAGATTTTTTTTAATAATATGTTTTTTTTAATTACACAAAAGTGAACAAACAAAGCTATATACAGAAGACAGAAATATCTTAACACAAACATCAAAACAATGTCTCAATCTATTCCAATACTATCTGTTAGATTCAATCCTAAGGAAGGATCTCTGGCATCCTAGCTATTTTTAAATCATTAAACTTTTCCTTGGACTGTGGACAGTTTTAGAATTTCTTTCCAAGTCCACTGGCATGAACCTTTCACATTTGGTCAGCATAAACCTTTTCAGTTTTAACAACCTGAAGATTTCCATCCAACCTGTCCAGGCTTGGAAGCTCCACAGGCTAGAAACTGCTGAGGGGACTGGTTAACCTAAACTGATGCCATTGTTCACTTAAACCATCCTCAGAGGGCAGGTATCTCACCCAGTGCAGGAAAATCTGCACAAGGCAATTCCAGGGGCCCTGAAAGCTGACACTGCTCCAGTCCAGCTTATTTTACAGGAGGTGGCAGAGCTGATGAGTCACTGAGACAGTGAGCAGCCTCCTGAGGAAGGGTCACCAGACCCGAAACATTAACTCTGTTTTTCCCTTCACAGATGCTGCCAGACCTGCTGACCTTCTTCAGCAACTTTGTTTTTGTAGCCTCCTGGTACAGGTGGGACCAGCGTGGAATGGATAGAGGTAGATATGTCAGTTAGCCTGTCTCACAATGGGCACTGAAACAAGTGTGATCAGTGGTTCTATGTGTGCCTCTGCACAGAGTGACAGGTTCAATCTCCATCCCAGACACTCCCAGCAAAGGGAGACTATGAGTAGGCTGCATTCACCTAATTCTATCTTAAGTTAAATCTGAATCCACTTTAGCCACCATCCAATACATTTCAGGTCATAACACCTTGCTAAGAAAAACCAGTCTCCTCATTTCCTCACTATGTCTCTCTCTCCAATTATCTTCAATCTGTGTCCTCTAGTTACCAACAGTCCCTTTACTGGGAACGATATTTCCTGATTCAAACAGCTTAAAGGGAAGGTTGAACCCTCAGTAATAGCATCTGCTTCTTTCCTCTTTAAAGACAGCTGCCTTTACTTTGTGATTGTAGCACTATATTTCTTATTTCAGACATAATAGACTAGTTAGTAAAATTAAACACTTCGGAATGAAAAGGCCTGTAACAGCTTGAGTAGAAAATTGAAGAAAGGGCTTTAAGCAGAGAGCTGGGGTGAGAAGTGGTATTTGGACTGCAGGGAGGTTTAGAGTGGGGTGCCTCGGGGTATTGCTGTTTTGGAAATAAATCAAGTGCTTCTGTTTGATACACAACATAATTTCAAAGGGAACACAAAGCTCTGAAATAGAGTGAGGAGGACAGTAACATACATCAGGAAAATGTAAAATGGAAAATTGATTTTAAAAATCACAGCTGAAATGTAACTCACAGAAATACATCTTTGTGGAAAGAATGAGAGCAAAAGTAAATAAAGGGGTATGATTTTAAAGGGTGTGCAGGATGTAGGTACAAATATTTTGATATGACAGGACAAATTGAAAAGGCTGTAAAAAAAACAGTCAAGATGCACTGCAACAATTTGCCAAGCGTCTTTAAATAACAACTTTTAAACCCCTGACCTCTAACATCCAGAAGGATCAGAGCAACAAATATATGAGAATACCACTATCTGAAAGCTCCCTCCAATCCTCACACCAGACTCAAGCCGCCTGGTTTAAAATGTAAATGAAACATGGCAGTTAACTGGCCATCAGCATTCACAGGTGCACTCTCTATGGCAATGCCTCTACCAAACAAAGTTCACTTGCAAACCAATCAGCACTCTCCTCTCATGCAGTACAAAAGACAGCTTCCCCTTTATTCATTTCCAGGATGAAGGCATTGTTTGCCAGGCAGCATTTATTGCCCATCCTCAATTGCCCAGAGGGCAGTTAAGAGTCAACCACATTGTTGTGGGTCTGGAGTCACATGTAGGCCAGACTAGGTACAGATGGCAGTTTCCTTCCCTAAAGGATGTTAGTGAACCAGATGGGTTTTTTGACAATCGACAATCGATTTATGGTCATCATTAGACTCTTAATTCCAGATTGTTTTTTCATTGAATTCAAATTTGACCAACTGCCATTGTGGGATTTGAACCTGGGTTCCCAGAACATTATTGGGTCTCTGGATTAACAGTCCAGCAATAATACCACTGGGCCATCACCTCCCCACACACCTCAGCTTGAATGATATTCTTATGAAGTGTCCTGATTAGTGCAAGACAAAACATATCTATTTTTAGCAAGACACAGCTCAAGATGGTTGGGTCAAGGTGGTTGGGACATCCTCACTACCCTGAGGATGTCCTGTCAAGATGTCCTTAGGCAGAGATGACTGACATCCAACAACCACCACCATCTTCCTTTGTGTCAGGTATGACTCCAACCAGCAAAGAACTTTGCCCTGGTTCCTAGTGACTCGAGTTTTGCCAGGATGGATTCAGCTCCTTTGTCCATGTTTGAACCAAGGTAGTAACAAGATCAGGAGCTGAGTGGTCTTGTCAGAGAGCAGGTTATTGCTAAGTAATGATCATTTGATATCACTGTTGAATGCGTACAATGAGGTTCTTGTAAATCAAGGGTGTAATACAACAGATGACATGACTCTGACATCAGCAAGAGAGAAGACACCACTTTAGAAAGAGGATGTGAAGAGAGAATTCTTAGACATTACTCTTGAGAGTTCGAATTGATAACTTAGCAACATAGGTTTAAATCAAGAAATAATACCGTAAATAAGCTGTTGAAGAACTTTACTTAGAAACGAAGAGACAGTAGCCTCAAGAACAGTGTATATGCAGACCCACAGTCCAAAGAGATTTCCTACAAAGACAGTCCCAATAAGCAAATAGCAGCATTGGCTTAAATGACAAGATAAAGATCAATGTACCCTTCCGTCACTTTGCTAATAATCAAGGGCAAACTGATTGGGTAGAAAGTGACTGGTTTGGTTTTGTCCTGCTTCATACCTGGACAGTTTCCCAAAGCCAGTGTTACAGCTGTCCTGGAACAGCTGATTAGAGGTAGGGCTGGTTCTGGAGCACAGATCTTCACTACTATTTCCGGAATGTTGTCAGGGCTTATAGCCTATGCTGGCAGAAGACCAAAAGAACATAGGAACATAAGAAACAGTACCAGAAGCAAACCATTTCGAACATTCAACCCAACTCTGCCAAAAATCATGACTGATCTTCTACTTTATTCATTTACCTACATTGCCACCATACTTCTTAATTCCCTCAGTACCCAATCCTCTATTGACCCCTGATCTGAATAGACTGAGTAAACCTCTACAGCTCATTGGAATGTAGAATGCCAAAATCTGCAACTCTTTCAGCGAATAATCTCCATCATCAATGGCCAACTCCTTATTCTACACTCCTTCCCCAGGGGAGACTCTCTCCTCTTCTCTATTGTGTCAAAACTGAAAGAACTATATGCCTGTCAATGAGAACTCCTCTCATTCTTCCAAACTCCAGGGAATATAGCTCTATTCAATCTCTCCTCAGGGGGCAACCCTTTCTTCTTACAAACCGGTCCAATGAATCTGAACTATGCCTCCTCTAAAGCAAGTCTAACTTCCTTTAAGCAGGGAGACCAAAGGCCACGTTTCATTGCAGCAGGACTTCCAAACTCTTCTACTTCAATCTGTTTGCAGTAAAGACTAACATACCATTTGACTTCCTCATTGTTTACACCTGCCTATTAACTTTCTGTACTTCATTTACGAGGACAGCCAGATCCCCAAATGAATACTCTCACATTATAGGTTAAAGATCATGTTAATAAGATTATAATATGAATCAAGACGGTGACAGAGACATTAGCAGTCACATGTGAGTGTCTTAGAAGAGAGATGGAATGAGTTGCAGCACAGAAAAAGATGAACTTCCCAAGAAATGTAGAATGTACTTTAATATAAATAAAGGAGCGTTGAAGAAACATACTAGAGTTAGATCTTAGTCACTCCTGGATAGAGGGAAATCTCCCTGATTTATAATTGGCCACAAGTTACCCAGAGACAGATCCAAGCAGCATTCAAAGTAGAACCAAACCACAAATCAAATACCAACATTCCCCAGTCTCTCATCAGTTAGAAATATTCTGCTTTCCTATTTTCCATTATTGTTATTTATAATTATTTTCAATTAGCACATTATGCAAAAAATCAACATTTGAATGATGTCACTGCGTGCCTGGAATGGGAAACAGACCCTCCAATTCCTTCATCGCTCTTGTGTGTTGACTGCCAAGCATCAGAAAACGGAAAACACCCACCAACCTGATAATCTCCCAAACTAGTTAAGCAACCTTTGAAATCCTGACTTTACACTAAATCTGTTGCCTCAGTTCTTGAATGCATTTTTAAATCATTAAAGATTTTTCTAACGACAACGCACGAAGGAATCCTTAGCCATTTGTTCCTAATGCACGTTTGAAAGTATCCGAGCCGATCATTAACTTTAATTTCAGGATTAAAGTTGGCAGATTCTGGGCCCATGGACGGTTCAAGTCTCTTCTCTTTTGAGAAAATAAATGTGGTTAATGCTCCAATTTAAGTAACGGAATGCTTCAGATCCAATAACCAAACGATACATCATAAACATTTATTACATGCAAATTTATGTAATTGGTTATGAGTGATAACCTTGAGCATTATCTGTATAACCATTACCATGGAGAGAACAATGAAAAAGTATAGACTCCCTATGTTCCTGCACAATTCAAAACAGATGCAAGTTTTAAGATAGTCCTTTTATTTGATGACAACGTAAATGAGTAACGTTATGGTCTCAACTGTTTATTTGCAATTGATTGGTAGTAATGCACTCAGGGCTATTTAGTAAGTGGATGCTCAGTAGTGGCAGTCTGTACTATCTGCAAGATGCACTGCAGAAATTCACCTAAGACGCTTAGTCAGCACCTTCCATAACCTCTAGAAGGGCATCGGCAGCAGATACATGGGAACACCATAACCTGTAAGTTCCTCTCTAAGCCACTCACCATCCTGACTTGGAAATGCTCTATCACTGGGTTAAAATCCTGGAATTCCCCCTCCAACACCATTGTGGGTTAACCTATAGCACATGGACTGCAGCGGTTCAAGAAGACAGATCACTACCACCTTCTTAAGGGATAACCAGGGATGGGCAATAAGTCCTGGCCCAGCCAGTTGCGCCTATGTTATGTCCCATCATAAAATTCCAGAGGTGAGGTGAGAGTGACTGCTTTTGACATCAAGGCCTCTTTTGACGAACTATGGTATCAAGGAGCACTAGCAAAACCGTGGTCAATGGGAATCGGGGCGGGGGGGTACTGTCCACTGGTCGAGGTCATACCTGGCACAGAGGAAGATGGCTGTGAAAACCGAAAGAACTGCGGATGCTGTAAATCAGGAACAAAGACAGAAGTTGCTGGAAAAGCTCAGCAAGTCTGGCAGCATCTGTGAAGAAAAAATCAGAGTTAACGTTTCGGGTCCAATGACCCTTCCTCAGTTCCTCAGTTCTGAGGAAGGGTCACCAGACCTGAAATGTTAACTCTGATTCATTCTTCACAGATGCTGCCAGACAGGAAGATGGTTGTGGTTGTTGGAGGTCAGTCATCTCAGCTCCAGGACATCTCTGCAGGAATTCCTCAGGGTAGTGTCCTAGGCCCAACAATCTTCAGCTGCTTCAACAATGACCTTCCCTCCACCATAAGGTCAGAAGTGGGGATGTTTGTCAATGATTGCACAATGTTCAGCACCATTTGCAACTCCTCAGATACTGAAGCAGAACAAGTCTATTTACAGCAAGACCTGGGCAACATCCAGGCTTGGGCTGATGAGTGACAACTAACATTTGCACAGCACAACTGCCAGGCATGACCATCTCCAACAAGAGACAATCTAACTATCTGTCCTTGATGTTCAATGGCATTGCCAATACTGATTCCCCAATATAATAACCTGGGAGTTATCATCAACCAGAAGCTGAATAGGATTAGCCATATAAATACTGTTGTTACAGGAGCAGGTCAAAGGCTAGGAATTCTGCAGAGCTTAATGCATTGCCTGTCTTTTCATTACCTGTTTATCATTTACAAGACACAAATGAAAAATGTTATCAGTACTCTCAACTTGCCTGCATTGCTGCATCTCCCACAACACTCAAACATTTGACATTATTCAGGACAAAGCAGCCCACTTGATTGGCACCACTTTCACTATCTACTCCCTATAGCATTGATACTCAGTGGCAACGGAGTGTAATATCGCCAATATTCACTAACGTAACTCACGCAGCCTTCTTTGATGGCACCTTCCAAACCTGCCAGCTCTACCAGCTCCAAAAAGGGCTACAGATGTATGGGAAAGGCACCATTTGAAAGCTCTCTTCCAAGCGACACACCATCCTAATTTGGGAAAATATTAATAACAGCAGAGGCAGAGTAGGAGGTGTTCCAGCTCTGTGTCTGTATACTCCTGTTCCAGCTCACCTGGCCAGACACATTCTTCTTTATTGCTTTTCTTTTGTTTTGTTTCTTAATTTCTCTTTTGTATCAAAGTTCACTTTTTTCTTCTTTTCAGTGACTGTAGTGGAGGAAGGTGATTGTTCGGGCCTGCTGCAGCAGCGGTGGCAATGTGGTGAATCTGGATGTCCCTTCCTCGTGGCCATACTTTAGCGATGGAAAGGGATAGGTATATACCGCAGGGCAAGAGTTATAGCTGGGGGAAAGGCAACTATGAGGCGATGAGGCAAGATTTAGGATGCATAGGATGGAGAAGGAAACTGCAGGGGCTGGGCACAATTGAAATGTGGAGCTTGTTCAAGGAACAGCTACTGCGTGTCCTTGAGAAGTATGTACCTGTCAGGCAGGGAGGAAGTGGTCGAGCGAGGGAACCGTGGGTTTACTAAAGAAGTTGAATTTCTTGTCAAGAGGAAGAAGGAGGCTTATGTAGAGATGAGGCGTGAAGGCTCAGTTAGGGCGCTTGAGAGTTACAAGTTAGCCAGGAAGGACCTAAAGAGAGAGCTAAGAAGAGCCAGAAGGGGACATGAGAAGTCTTTAGCAGGTAGGATCAAGGAAAACCCTAAAGCTTTCTATAGGTATGTCAGGAATAAAAGAATGACTAGAGTAAGATTGGGGCCGGTCAAGGACAGTAGTGGAAAGTTGTGCGTGGAGTCCGAAGAGATAGGAGAGGTGCTAAATGAATATTTTTTGTCAGTATTCACACAGGAAAAAGACAATGTAGTCAAGGAGAATACTGAGATACAGGCTATTAGACTAGACGGGATTGAGGTTCATAAGGAGGAGGTGTTAGCAATTCTGGAAAGTGTGAAAATAGATAAGTCCCCTGGGCCGGATGGGATTTATCCTAGGATTCTCTGGGAAGCTAGAGAGGAGATTTGGTTTCACAGGTCGGCGCAACATCGAGGGCCGAAGGGCCTGTACTGCGCTGTAATGTTCTATGTTCTATGTTCTATAGTGGCTGCAGCTTTATCGAAGGCTTCATCGTTGGTGGGTCTGCTCCATTCCTCCTCAGAGTGGTGCGGTGGCACCATGCTGCTTCTGGTTCGTTCCTTGTGGCTGTAGTGGCTTCAGGCAGTGACTGAAGTGGAGACAGCTTGAACAGTGGCTTCACTGCAGTGATTTGGTGGGTCCCATCTGTCCCTCCTGGCTATGGTGGCCACGGACTGTAGGAGCCTTTGGATTCTGATTCAGCTGCAGCGTGGTTGGTCTGGTCTGGAAATCTTGCTTTGGAGGCCTCAGGGGCAGCTTCAGTGTCCCATAGCCAGTCCATAAACTTAGGAGCCATGGAGGGAACAAAAGATGAACTTTGTCCTATCTTTGTCTCAATTATTTCTTTTTATAATTTCTGTAATTAAAATGGCACAGAATTGTGGCAACTTATGCACATCTCGCTTTATTTTCATAAATACAAGTGTCAATAAATTACTATTTCATTGCTATTCTATACCATTCTAAATGTACCATCATTCCTTCCGTATCACTGGGTTGAAATCCTGGAACTCCTTCCTAACAGCTCCCTAATAGTGTGGACCCATATCTCAAGGAGTGCAGTGGTTCCCAAGGGCAGCTTACCACCACCTTCTCCAGGAAAATTGGGGAAGGGCATAAAATATTGGCTTAGCCAGAAATAACCATATTCAGCAAATTAATACAAAAATGTAACAACAAGGGTAGTTTGGTGGTTCAGTGGTTAGCACTGCTGCCTCACAGCGCCAGGGACCCGGGTTCAATTCCACCCTCGGGTGACTGTCTGTGTGGAGTCTGCACATTCTCCCAGTGTCTGGGTGGGTTTCCTCCGGGTGCTCCGGTTTCCTCCCACAATCCAAAGATGTGCAGGCTGGGTGGATTGGCCATGCTAAATTGCCCGTAGTGTTCAAGGATGTGTAGATTAGGTGTGTTATAGGGGGAATGGGTCTGGGTGGGATGCTCTGAGAGTTGGTGTGGACTTGTTGGGTCAAAGGGCCTGTTTCCACATGGTAGGGATTCTATGAAAAATGAAAAGTTTATGACGATCAGCCAAGTTTGTGATGGAGCTAATTTACACTGCCTAAATGTTCTCAAACAAACAGAATATATTCAATCTCTACAGCTTTAATGAAATATCCAGGAGTTCAGGGAGCCAACGCATCCTTATTCCTTTCTACATGGGAATGCCTTGGCCAATCAGAGTTAAATTTCCACTCAATTTGCTCCTGGCGTATAGGAACCGTTGAGATGGTTTGTAATATGGTATTCTCGCATTTGCCCTGGGGAGTGTGAGATGAAAAGCTTTGACAACATGTCTTTGTTAATCTCAATGAAGGAATCTATTGTGTCACCTGATGCTACTCTGAATAGACCAGAACCATGTGACATCTTCCTGCGATATTTGAAAGGATATATATGATGTATATGTTGTGATATATACAATAGCAGAGTGATATTGAATACACAAGACAGAACTGATGCCAGGAATATGTACTTACCTTGGACATCCCCTTTGTGGAGTAATACAGCCCAGATCTCCTCAGGAAGAAATACAAACGTCTCCACGTTTTCTTTCCTTTATCCTTAATGTGGAGAAAACCCTGAATCTCGGGACAGTTCTGAGCATTTAGAAAATTCTGGAGGAAAGAAAATGTTTTGTTTAAATTACTGATAAATAAACAAAGCTTCTTAGGCCTTTTGATAATGTGAGCCATTCAGGGGAAGAGCATTCTCCAGGTCATTCTGTGCCTTTCTACACTCAAAAACACTTGTTCCTGTGATCGCCACAGCCCAGTGCATGGCCTTGCCATTCAGACCAGTCTAATCAATCAGAAACACCAGAAAGACCTCTCAGCATCAATCCAGGCACCAAAAACTATAATGGAAAACACAGCCATATCAATCCTGCAAAAGTCTACATTACTAACATCTGGGGGCTTGAGCCAAAATTGGCAGAGCTGTCTCACAGACCCACCAAGCAGCAGCCTAACATAGTCATACTCATGGAACCATCCCTTACAGACCTATGTCCTGGATAACATCTTCACTATCCTTGGGTATGTCCTCTCCCACCAGAAGGACTGACCCTAGCAGAGGTGGCGGCACAGTGGTATTCAGTCAGGAGGGAGCTGTCCCAGCCCTAAGCGTTGAAGTCTCATGGCACCAGGTCAAATATGGGCAAAGAAACCACCTGATTGAATACCATGTCCTCCCTCCACTCATCCATGTTGTACAACACTTAGAGGAAGCACTGAGGGTAGCAAGGGAACAGGATGTGCTCTGGGTGGGGGATTTCAGTGTCCACCAACAAGAGTGGCTCAGCAGCAGTACTACTGATCGAGCTGGGTGGGTCCTAAGGGGCATTGCTGCTAGACTGGGTCTGGGGCAAGTGGTGAGGGAACCAACAAGAGAGAAAAACATACTTGACCTCATCCTCACCAATCTGCCTGTTGCAGACGTGTTTGGTTTTGACAGTAACAGTAAGAGTAATGATGCACAAAGTCCCATCTTCACACTGAGGGTTGTGTGGCAGTCTCACTGTGCTAAAAGGGACAAACTTTGATCAGATCCAGCACCTCTAAACTGGGCATCCATGAGGTGCTGTAGATAATCAGAAGCAAACTTGTATTCAATCCATCCATTACCTGGTGAACCAGTGTTTACACACTGACTATTTACACAGCGAATTGTAGGTGCAGGATGCAATGGAAAGGGTCGAGCAATCCACAACCAGCGAATCAGATCTAGGAAATATAGAAAATAGGGCACGAAGAGGCCATTTTGCCATCAAGCCTACTCTACCATTCAATATGATGATGGCTGATCATCCAACTCAGCCCCCGTTCCTGCTTTCTCCCCATTCCCTTTGATACCTTTAGTTCTAAGAACTACATCTAACTCCTTCTTGAAAACATTCAGTGTTTTGACCTCAACTACTTTCTGTGGCAGAGAATTCCACAGGCTCCCCACTCTCTAGATGGAGACATTTTTCCTCATTTCAGTCCTAAATGGCTTACCCTGTATCCTTACACTGTGACCCCTGTTTCTAGACTCTTCAGTCATTGAGAACATTCTTCCTACATTTACTCTGTCTAATTCTGCTAGAATTTTACACGTTTCTATGAGATTCCTCCTGTCATTCTTCTAAACTCCAGTGAGTATTATTCTAATCAAACCAGTCGCTTTTCATATTACAGTCCTGTAAGGAAACCAAAACTGCCACATAATACTCCTGGGCAGTACGGTGGCTCAGTGGTTAGCACTGCTGCCTCACAGCACCAGGCAGCCGAGTTTCATTCCAACCTCAGGTGGCTGTCTGTGTGAGGTTTGCACATTCTCCCTGTGTCTGTGTGGGTTTCCTCTGGTTTCCTCCCACAGTCCAAAGATGTGCAGGTTAGGTGGATTGGCCATGCTAAATTGCCAATAGTGTCAGTGTGTATCTCACCTGTATAAGCTGTGAGTGTGGAACTCCTGCATTGGCATCCAGACTTCCTGCTACCAATTGCACTGGGAAAAATGGCTGTTTAGGAAACAGAGATGTGATCATTAAACTGTGTTTGGAAACACCCTCTTCTTTAATGCAGCAATTTTCATGAATCCTTTCTCAATGCAAAACTATCTGTCTTGAAACTAACAGTACATTATTTCTGCAAATTTTCACCCAATTGCTTTCTGCCCAAGTTAGAGGTCAGTACAGTCTGACCTGTGGCTGTTTTTGTTTTAGGTTTCTTTGTTCTGACCTTTCTCCTTCACCCAAGTCCCAGTTTTGGAGGGGTCATGGTTTGGTGACCATCTTGACTCATCACTCTCAGGGCATATATACAGCTGGGGCAGACAGCTAGGATGATATAATAGTTAGGGCTACCAGCTCACAGATAGGGTATACAGCTAGGGTACACAGCACATTGACAAGGTACATATACCTACAGCATTGTGCACGTGGATGAGGTATACAGCTAAGGTGTACAACATGTGGTGAGGGAATATAGCTACGTACACAGCATACAGGTAAGGTCTACAGCTGGTGTATACAGCACAGCCGGTGTATACTTTTAGGAAGGGGAGGTTGAGCCCTTCTGATAATTAAAATTGAAACACAAGACCCCAATCTGTTACAGCAGGTGTAGAGATCCCCTTCTAATAATTAAAGCTGAAACACCAGAGAAGCTCACCTCACCTTGCCTAATCTGTTAGAAAGGAGTAGCTATATGAAAGAAAATCCCTGACATTCACTTTATAAGCAACAAGTTACAATTTGTTTATTTAACCCTAACAATGAACAAATTAACGGAACTAATAACAAACCGAACAATTCCGCCTTAACTACTAACTATTCCCAAATTGAACAAAATTCTACTGGTTTGCTGTTCCAATAAACAGAAGTCCCAATTATATAAACCCAAGTAGTAATAAATATAAATTAAAACATAGAATCTCAAAGGTACAGCCAGGTTAAGTCTTCCAGAACGTTCAACGCCCTCTCTGCTGATCCTTCTGTCAGGAAAGCTTTCTCTGTGAATTCCTCTGTCAGGAAACTTAGTTAGGATTGCCATGGTACCTTTATGAATAGATAGTGCTTTCTCAGAGAGCTTAGAGATTTCTGTGAGAGCCAGACAGTCACTTTTCAGATGGCAGTTCACTCTCACACCGATTTTCAAAAACCCTCTTCTAATATACCCCCAATGACTTGTCAACTTTCTTATAATAGGATTGGTCTGAGGTTGTCAAAGCCATCAGATTTAAATTCAATTGGTTTTCAATCTCTAAGTGCTTGGTTTAAATTAATTAGCTGATTCCAGCTAGCTGTCAAAACATCAAAACAAGCCTAAGGTTTCCAATCACACAGCCGATTGATACATGTTTCAATTTCAGAACTGGCTGTATCTCTTCAGCTGCTTACAGACACTTTTTTGTTAAAATCTCTAAGCTTAGAAAAGCACATCACCACTTCAAAGGACGACGCACTCTTCCTCCCTATCATTTTTACAAACAAATTCTAACTTTGGGCCTTTCAATTCAAAAGTATTCTATACACCTTCACAATAATGCAGTCAGCTTTCACATCTGATAGACATCTAAACTAGAGGGAACGTAATAGAGAATTCGTTTGAATTCACAGCTTTGAAACAAATCATTCAGCTGACCATTTGTGAAGCTGACTGTGCTCCAAGTGAACAGCCCCCATGTTATGTTGTTCCATTCTATTGTCTTATCCCTTTTCAAATACATATCACGAAAAAATCACAACATTTACTTAAAGAGTTAGATGTTCTTTCAACTTCAGTGGTAATTTGTGTTCAAAAATCCTCACCATTTTAAGTGAGAAACAATTGCAAACTGTTAAGGAGTTAATGAGAATTGGGGGGAATAATTAGAAGATTTTGGTACTTTACGCATCAAGTATAATCATGATAAACTTGTCAGCGGGTGAAATATCTGACACTCCCACTCAGTGTTTGAGACAAGTCTACTCAAATTATGGTATAAATGTAGTCATGTAACTGTAGTGATGGAGTACTGATTTATGGAATCCATCTGAAGCACAAACCCAGTATCAGTAATAGTTAAACAAATCTTACCTCGGGATTCCTGAAGAATTCATATTTTGCATAATGTTTTCTGAAAATGAACCTGCTGCCACTGTTATTCAGCCAGGTTTTCTGCACCTCAATCAATGACTCATGATCCTCTAGGCACCTCTCTGGGAGACAAGGTAAGAAATGGGTAGTATGCATTTATTATACAATAAGGAGAGGGTTAGCTACTACCAGCTCGCACTCCAAAATAAATTTTACAACTTTCCTATCCAGCATGGGACCCGGTCACTTTCTCAATAATACAGGGTTTGTCCCCCCGCAGCATCATTCAGAAAGTAATTTGACAAGCTCATGGGAAGCTGATGGAGCAAACCTGAATATATTGTAGACAGGAAGGAGATTGCAGCTTTAAAATATTTCCTCAATTGATACCAATTGAGAGCACGAAGTTTGTATTCTATGCTAATGAGCAAAGAATCTATTTTGAGTTGAGGAACATTTGGATTGCCCCTGTCCCTAAACCTGAGGGGAATCTTGTGAGGTGCAGTGTTTGTGAGAGAGGAGAGAATGGCAGTGTGCTCATAGACACACTCACTCCTTGAAGGCACAATTCCTGAATGGCAAAGGCACTCTGGGTGCTGACTGCCCAGCATCTTAGATGTCAGGATATTCAGTCATGTGGGTCATCACTATTGTGTCCTTTACTGCAAAAGCAAATGCCCGAGAACAAAAGTAGAACATAATCCCGAGACCGACTGGATGAAATATTTGCCAGTTTTGGGAACTCCGAACAAGTTGTGATTGACAATGGTCCACAGTTTGTGGCACAAGAGTTTGAGGGGTACCTGGAAAATCACGGAGTCGGACATATGAGATTGGCTCTGTATCACCCTATAACGAACAGCCAGGGTGAGGGGATTTATACAAACCGTGAAACAGACCTTAAAGGGGAGAGGTCACTCTGACAGCAACTCAACAAGTTCCTCAATGTGTACAGGAACATGCCACATGTGATGACCCAGTGCCCGCCTGGCATCCTTCATGTTCGACCACCAGCTCAAAACATGTTTGACTTACTGCGGCCAGAAGAGATCAGAGAGGTGGTGGAGTGAAATCAAGAAGGACAGATGGTCAGAAGGGCGGGAACCTCAAAGTCAAGGCTATTCCAAAGAGGAGAGACCGTAATAGCCTGGAATTATACATCTGGGCCAACAATGAATCCCAGCATGGTGTTGTCTTAAACAGGATCATTGCCATATACAGTGCAGACTAGAGATGAACTGGTCTGGAGGTGACATGCAGACCAGCTGGTCATTGCATTTCACGAATCGGGGGACATCCCTCAGAATACCTTGCCAGTGCAGATGGATCTGAGGGTGTGGACCCAGTCATGTGTCTCTGAGCCAGGGTTGGCCATACCCAGTGAGAAGACAACAGCAGCTTCAGAGGGCAACAACAGCCAATCAGAGATGGATGTACCTGAGGAACAACAGGAGCTTCCGGAAGCCCAGGAGACTACACTAGAGAAGATTCCTGAATCGAGGAGACAGTCTTTGAGAAACTGCCACCCGTCAGAGAGACTGATCATGTCAATGTAAACTACGATAGGGTCATTTTCTTTCCTTTTTTTATAAATATTCATGACAATGTATATATGTTAGCTACAATGCTTGTATAATGGTTATAATTGTTGGATGTATAAATATTGATAAGGGGAGTAAGGAAATAAAGGGGCAGGAGTGTTATGTTGAGTATGGGTTGCCCCTTTAAGACAGCAGAGCAGCTGACCCAGAACAGTTGCTGAGCAGGGGTGCGGGCAGGAGAAAAAGTTTAAAACCAACTGTGGAGCTGAGAGGTGGCACAATAAAGTATTCCCTTTTCAAGTTTACCATGTGTCTACTGCATGTTTTGTTTCTGGTTCTAGCTAAGCAGAAGTTAAGGGGAGGTGATGGCCTAGTGGTATTGTCACTGGACTGTTAATCTACAGACCCAGGTAATGTCCTGGGGACCCAGGTTTAAATCCCACCACGCTAGATGGTGGAGTTTGAATTCAATTTTTTAAAAATATCTGGAATTAAGAATCTAATGATGACCATAAATCCATTGTCAATTGTAAGAAAAACTCATCTGGTTCACTAAATGTCCTTTAGTGAAGGAAACTGCCATCCTTACTTGGTCTGGCCTACATGTGACTCCAGGCCCAAAGCAATGTGGTTGACTCCTAACTGCCCTCTGGGCAATTAGGGACGGGCAATAAATGTTACATAGCAGCGTCGCCCTCATCCCATTAATGAATAAAGGTAAAAGGAACCAGGGGGTGGGGGAAGGTGAAGACGTGAGGTGACCTGCTGCTGCGTTTTGTCATTTATATAAATGATTTGGATGTGACTATAGGAGGTATGGTTAGTAAGTTTGCAGATGGCACCAAAATTGGTGGTGTAGTGGACAGTGAAGAAGGTTACCTCAGAGTACAACAAGACTTTAATCAGATGGGCCGAGAGTGGCAGATGGAGTTGAATTTAGATAAATGTGAGGTGTTGCATTTTGATAAGACAAACCATGGCAGAACTATTACACTTAATGATAGGGTCCCAAGGAGTGTTGCCGAACAAAGAGACCTTGGGGTACAGATGCATACTTCCGTAAAAGTGGAGTCACAGGTAGACAAGACAGTGAAGAAGGTGTTTGGTACGCTTGCCTTTATTGGTCAAAACATTGAATATAGGAGTTGGGACATCATGTTGTGGCTGTACAGGACATTGGTGAGGCCACTTTTAGAATACTGTGTACAATTCCAGTCTCCCCTTGTATAGGATGAATGTTGTTTAACTTGAGAAAGTGCAAAAGAGATTTACAAGAATGTTGCCGGGACTGGAGGGTTTGTGTTATAAGGAGAGGCTGAATAGGCTGAGGCTTTTTTCGCTGGAGGGTCAGAGACTGAGTGGTGCCCTTTCAGAGGTTTATAAAATCATGAGAGGAATGGATAGGGTGAATAATCTAAGTCTTTTTCCTTAGGTGGGGGAGTCGGTAACTAGAGGGTGTAGATTTAAGGTGAGAGGGGAAAGATTTAAAAAGGATTTGAGAGTAACATTTTCACACAGATGGTGGTGCATGTATGGAATGAGCTGTCAGAGGAAGTGGTAAAATTACATCATTTAAAAGGCATTTGGATGGGTCAATGAATAGGAGGGATACAGGCCAAATGCTGGCAAATGGGACTAGGTCAGATTGTAATGTCTGGTCAGCGCAGACACATTGGACCAAAGGGGTTGTTTCTGTGCTGTATGACTCTGTAAGTGTGAGGGGGTAGGGGCTGAGTATTGGTGGGGGGGGCTGAGAGTGAGGAGTGTTCAGTTGTCATGGTTACCCAGTGCAATGTTGGGGTGAGCCTCCACCAGGGTCCAGCTGTCCTCATTGAGGTAGCGATTCCTCTCGACCAGGATGTGACAAACATCCTGCGCTTTCACTGCAGCTGTGACCTCAAGTGACCTCTTCATTCCATCTTCACTGAAGATAGTAATAACCTAAATCAAAGAGAGAGACAGCACAGTGAGAGAATGATGAAGTCTAATGAGATTTGCTGGTAATTTGAGAGGTGTCAACAGGTTAGCCAGTCTGGCTAAAACAGCGAGTTATAGTCATGGAGGAACATGAGGCCAATTTCATCCCCACACACGGGAAAGAATTCCCATGCATTGACCTGGCTGACATAACTCCCACTGCCAATCCACTCCCAGCAGCAGCTTGCCTGGGATAGCGTTTGGATTACAATCATCTTCTTGTTAACATATAGACCACCAATGAGTGTGGCACAAGGGCTGACAAAACGATGAACAGAAAGTTCCTTGTTCTGAGGAAGGGTCACCAGACCTGAAACGTTAACTCTGTTTTTTCCTTCACAGATGCTGCCAGACCTGCTGAGCTTTTCCAGCAACTTTGTTTTTGCTCCTGATTTACAGCATTCGCAGTTCTTTTGGTTTTTATTGAGAAAGTTCCATGTATTGCCTGACATATTACAAACCATGGATCCTAGGTGGTGAGTCTCACTTGGGTTCTGATTTGATTTCTGTGTCTTTATTGACTGCATGTAACATTTTAATTGTTAAAAGAAATCTGTGGTATGGCCACCATCAGAACCCACAGCGTCACTGTTACTGAGGAGACAAGACGGCACGGCATACCTTTGGCAGGTGAAACACACCAGCCATAGCGATTGTTATCAGACACACAGACCATAATTATGCCTTTGTCACACTGAAACATTCGCTGACAGATGAGTCTGCACAGCCCTGTTTTATGGACAAGTGCCACATTGTGTTTCTACATAGATAGTAACCTCCAAACTAACTGTACATCAGCCAGCAGACCAGCCTGTCACTGACACCATAGGATAGCTCAGGTTACACGTTTTTCAGTCTCAGTGGTTGATCAGCAGAGGTAATACGGAAACTACTTACAAAGAACACAGCACAGAAGCAGGCCATTTGGCCCATCTCTTCCGTACCAGTGTTTATGTTCCATGTGAATCTCCTCTGACCCTGTTTTCATCTCACCCCATCAGTAACATCCTTCTGTTACTTTCTCCCTCATGTTTATCCAGTTTGCCTTCAATGTATCATTATTACTCACCTCGACGACTGCCTGTGGGAGTGAGCTTCATATTTCCGCACTGTCTTGGTAAAAAGGTTTCTCCTGGTTTCCCTATCGGATATCATGTTTATAATCTCTAGTTCTGACTCCCCTTACAAATGGCAATCTCTTCTCTAAGTTTACCATACAAAAACCTTTACAGAATTGTAAAGACCTCTATCAGGTCACCCCTCAACCTCTACTTTTCTGGTGATGGGCAGAGTACCAGCCTGAACTGTCTTTCCCTGCTGGTTACATGCTCTCGGTTCTGATACAATACTAGTAAATATTATTCTCACCTCCTCCAATCCACCTACATACTTTTAATCATGTGGAGACCAGGATGCTCCCAGTCCACTGTGATGTCTACCTCAGGTACAAAAAATAACAGCCTTGCCAGTGACATCCTGGGAACAATCTCTGTCATGAAAGACACCTTATAACAATTGTTTTTTAAAAAATTATTCTTTCACAGGATGTGGGGGCTGGTGGCAAGACCATCATTTATTATCCATTCCTAACAACATTAATGTAATGTAATGACAGTGTAATGGATGAGGTGGACTTGATTCCTTTTGGACTTTTTCCAGAGGTTTCAGTCTGGCCTGGACTATTGTCTCCTACACCTCCCATTAATTGTTTAAAACATCAGCACTGCTGCCCCTCACCAATCAGAAAGCAACTGTGAAGACTGCCAATGTTCTGATCTTCAATATTTTTATGATTAATGGAAGTGTTCAAATAAAACTTTAAAAAACAATGTTTTTGAACAATTAATTGATTTTCATAGAATCAGAGTAATACAGCATGGAAACAGGCCCTTCAGCCCAAACTGGTCCGTGCTGACCATTGTGCCCACTCAGCTAGGTCCAATTGCTTGCATTTGGTCCATATCCCTCTAAACCCTTCCCATCCATGTACCTATCCAAATGATTATTGAATGTTGCTATTGTAACTGCCTCAAACATGTTGTCTGGCAGCCCATTTAACATATGCACTGCTCTCTACATGAAGAAGTTGACCCTCAGGTCCTTCCTAAATCTATCCGCTCTCACCTTAAACCTATGCCCTCTAGTTTTCAATTCCCCATCCCTAGGAAAAAGACTATATGCATTCATCCTAAGTATGCCCCTCATGATTTTATACACCTCATTGTCTTACATTCCAAGGAATAAAGTCCTATCCTGGCCAACCTCTCCCTATAACCCAGGCCTACTAGTCCTGGCAACATCCTCGTAAATTTTCTTTGCACACTTTCCAGTTTAACTATATCTTTCCTATAACAGGGTGACCAAAACTGTACATAATACTCCAAGTACGGCCTCACCAATGACTTATATAACTGTAACATAACGTCCCAACTCCTATACTCAATGCCCCGACCGATGAAGGTCAGCATGCTAAATGCCTTCTTCACCACCCTGTCTACCTGTGATGCTGCTTTTAACAAACTATGTACTTGTACTCATCTTTTCGCTTGGAGATTAAACTTGACCATCAACTCTGTTGATCAATCAGTGTCCAGGAAATTAATTCTGGGGATTAATCTACAATCCTTGGATGCTCCAGAGCAATCCTGGAAGGTTGGCTACTGCTGAATGGGACCTGTTTACCTGTTAGAATTTGGATTTCATGTGGATTTCAGAGGGGATGACTGGAATACAATCGATAGAACTGATTGTGTTAAAGTTACCTACAAGATTACAAATTCAATACAAACAAAACACTTGGTCTAATACTGTGAGGGGCTGCTGTATAGAGAGCAATCTCAAGTACAAGTTTTGTGAATACTACATACCTAGAAGTTAGAAATGACAGGCCTTAGGAAGAAATGCAAACATTGTAAAACTGAATAGCTGCTGAATACAGCAGAGCCTGTACTGGCATGGCCCTACCTCTCACGCAATACCCTGAACCAGTCACAATAAAATACATTCACTCTCACTCTGGTTAAAATGACCGCGCTAGGTTTGAATAAATTGAAGTTTTCTACATCGGAACAGAACTGTAATGACAGAGACGTTAAAATTTGGTGGTGGCCGGGTGAGTGCTTGTGTTCTGAGCTGTTGATTGCTGTGGCACACACCTGCAACAGGTGTGGTAATGTCTGTTTTTATACCTGTCATGTCGCAATGCTTCCTGATCAGACAACATCAGGCAAATCTACACAGACAGGACAGTATCTCGGGTCTCCCTCACTCCCCACTCAAATATACCAAGTGACCAGAGAAAGGACTGTCACTTTAAGACATTAGGTCAGTGCGCTGTTGAGACTGAGTTCTATTACTTCAGCACTAAGTCTATTTATAGTGGCTATAAATCATGACGCACGCCTGGTGTCTAGACACTATATTTAATGTCACTAGGCAACATTGAACAGGCTGCAAATCATAACTCTGAATCTGACCTTTCAAGTACAACCTCAGCAGGTAGTGAAACAGTGAGCTCACCTGCAGACCACCACCAGACACGGGACATCCTGATTATAGACAACAGCTTAAAACAGACAACATCTAGCAGACCAAGTGGTACACAACTCTCTCCACGAACAAGAATGTGAAAGCAGAGAGATGTGCAATGGTAAATCTGTCTGATAGGAGCAGTAGATCAGTTGATCACAAGAATAAGGAAGGCAATTAAGCATCAGGAAACAAGGCTTTGTTGATGATGCTGTGGTATGCATCTCCACCACTCTGCATAGGAGTTGGGTTCAAGGGTCAACCACTCCTTGGGTTCAATTTTCACCAACTAAATTAATTATGAATTCATATGACCACCCATGAATTAAGCAGCATGGTAATGAGCTCAGAATGGGGCTGGGAGTTTTCCATCTGCCACATGTCCTGACTCTTGGGAAAAGCCTACCTCTGGCTCCCTCCACTGCACACAGATGAGCAAATATACACTAAGATCAAACCCCTGCCCCTTCACCCTCTTCCTCATAATATTCTATTGCCTCCTCCAGGCAAACTGTACTGAAAACTCCCCCAGGACTACCTCACAAATTCTGCTCTCTGAACCAACAACCATTTGTATATTTTTAGTGCCGTTACCATAATGCTATTGAGGCAATTGCCTTGTGAAGGTATGGCTGTAACCATCTCGAGTGGCAGACCTGAAAGAGATGCTTTCAGAATCTGGACCAGAGTATAGCAAAGCAGTGGGATAGCCCCATACATTTGCATTCCAGCTGATAATGGCTATTCACTTCATTAAAAATCAATCACCCTCTGGTGTGAGTATTAAATATCATCTCAACAGAAAACTCTTTAACCTCGGTCATCCCTGAACCAAAATTAAACTGGCTGCCATAGACATACACCATCTACATGTTGTGGCTAATGGCAATGCTTTCACCCACTCTGCACCAGATTTGCAAACCACTCTCAGTCTCTTCAACTGTGGATAAGAGACTCGGTCTGCCCTTGAATGTTGCCAAAACAAACCTTATATCAATTCACACCTGGCCAGTGCAGTGTTCCATCTCCTGGATATGATGAAGGAGAAGGTCTGGAATGTGTTGAGCACAGACCTTGGCAGCTTCCTCTCTCAAAAGGCCACCATTGATGAGGAGCTCCAATATACATCAGCTGCACCAGCCCCATCCTCCTACAAACTCCAGCAAGTGTTTAACAACAAAGACCTCCACAGTTCAACAAATGTTCTTGTGTACACAGCAGCTGTCAGCACGACCCTCCTGCACTGCAGAAGAGGGTGACAGAACTGGGTACTGAAAAGGCCTTTTACCCTGAAAACATTTCAGTGCTAGTACTGAAGACTTGTAAGATAGAACTAGCTGCAGCCTTAGCCAAGCTGCTCTGGGACAGCTACAACACTGGCATCTACCTGCCAATGTGGAAAATTGCCCAGGTACGTCCTGTTGACAAAGTCCAACCCGGCCAATTACCGCCCCATCAGTCTACACTCGATCATCAGTAAAGTGATGGAAGGTGTCATCAACACCGCTATCACGCAACTATCAAACATGGACAAAAGAGCTGAATTCCAGAGGTGAGGTGAGTGTCACTGCCTTTGACATCAAGGCTGTGTTAGACTGAGTGTTGTAACAAGGATTCTGAGCAACACTGGAATCAATGGGTATTGGGGCGAACTCTCTGCTGGTTGGAGTCACGCCTGGCATATAGGAAGATGTTTGTTGTTGTTGGAGTTCAGTCATCTCAACTCCAGGACATCTCTTCAGGAGTTCCTCACGGTAGTGTTCCAGGCCCAACCATCTTCAGCTGCTTCATCAATGACCTTCCCTCCATCATCAGGTCAGAAGTGGGGATGTTCGCCGAAGATTGCACAATGTTCAGCATCATTTGCTGAAGCCGGCCCTATACAAATGCAGCAAGACCTGGACAATATCAGGCTTATGCTGATAAGCGGCAACTACATTTGCATCAGAAAAGTGCCAGGCAATAACCATCTCAAACAAGACAGGACCTAACCATCTTCCCTTAATGTTTGATAACATTACCATCATTGAATCCTCACCATCAACACACTGGGGCTCATACTAAAGAGGAACTGAACTGAATGTGTCATATAAATACTGTGATCACTAGAATAGGCCTGAGTGAGGAATTGTGGTGAACAACTCAGCTCCTGACTCCCGACAGCCTGTCCAAGGCACAAGTCAGGAGCATGATGGAATACTCCCCACTTGCCTGAATAGGTGCAGCTCCAATAGCACTCATGAAGTTTGACACTTTCCAGGACAAAGCACCCTAAACAGTGCCTTCAAAATTCCCTCCCTCCACCACTGACATACAATAGCAGCAGTGTGTACCATCTAGAAGATGCACTGTAATAACCCACCAAGCTACCTTCAAAATCAACTACCAAACAACAGTAACCACTTAGAAGGTCAAGAATAACAAATAAATAGGAACACCACCACATTCAAGTTTCTCTAGAGGCTAAATCCAATTCAAACATGGAAATATATCAGCTGACCTGCACTATCACTGTGTCAAATTCCCATTCAGAAATAGCAATGAGCTTCAGATCCCTCGATCGCCAGGTGACCCCCCATGCCCAAAGATACACAGGTTGTTCAGGCAGGTGAAGACCCGCAGCAGAAACCTGGACTCCAAGGAGAAATCTTCCTTGAATTGAGGGGGAGCCACTGATGATTATCGGAATAAAATTTATGAAAGCACTTTACAGGAACTATTTGTGAGATATCTCAATGATATAGAAGAAAATGAGGAGGGAGGGGAATGATAAATAAGTTTGTGGATTGGCCAGGTGGTTGACAGTGAGGAAGAAGATCTCAGGTTGCAGGAGGATGTAGATGGGTTGGTCAGATCAGTGACAGATGGAATATAACCCTGATGAATGTGAGGTGATCCACCTCAGACGAAGGGGGCTAGGGTTATGTTTAACTTTACAGCTAATAAATTTAAAGTGAAAGGCAGGAGGTTTAGAGGAGATTTGAGGAAAGGATTTTTCACCTGGTGGGAATCTGGAATATGCTGCCTGAAAAGGTAGCTGAGGTGGGAAGCCTCACAACTTGTAAAATATACTTGGATTGAAAATTCATAACATTCAAGGCTATGAGCAACTAAGTGTAGATTAAGTGTAGCTTTTTGTCAGGCAGATTTGATGGGCTGAAGGGTCTCTGCTGTACTATATGATTCTACGAACTGAACAAAATGTGACAATGAACCCAATGAGGAGATATCAGGGCAGGTGATCCAGTAGATTTTAAGGACAACGTTAGAGGGAGTGAGAGAAGTGAGGAGGCAGAGAAGTTAAGGAAGGAAATTCCACTCTTTAGTGTTAAGTGTAACTAACGAGTTCAGGGCTGAGGTTGGTGGAAATCACGTGATCTCTCTCAGTGGTGACATCTCTCACTCACACCCATAGAATGAAAATAAGTATCTACGAGTTTCGACTGAGGAAACTGTCAAGGACATATATCTGGATCTGGAATGTGTGAAATGATGTTTGAATGTTCCCATTCCAGAGTGCCACACTAATTATAGTCCGTAATGTCTTGCAGCTACAGTCAGTTCCACAATGCTGTGCTTTAATCACTGCTCAAACTTAACAATTCAGTGGCAGGTGGTGGTGCTGTGTATATGTGTTGGTATCAGGGTGGTTCAGTGTTTGGAAATCTATTGTGTTATTAATGTACCTTAAAAATCTACCAATTTATCACGATGGCTGACTGTATGAGCTCTTAATGATAACAGGAATTTCCAATCTACAGTGTTACATCATTCACTCTGGCCTCCAGCAATCAAGGGCTAGTGGTCAGTGGCAGGAGTGAGGTAGAGACCCTGGAGTGCCCTACTGAACAGTGCCCCCTGCCTTTTCTGCTGAGCCCTCTGCCCCAGGACCACTCTACCTGCCCTATGACCACTCCAGCAGTCTGTTCATTTAGAAGTGAAGGGATTGAGATAGGTGCTGGCATGATAGAGCTGAGTGCACCAACACTGAGCATGTGGAAATTGCCCTGATTATTACAGTACAAGTTTCACTGTGTGTGCATGTGTGTGTATGGGGTGGGGGGAGGGGGCGGGGAGCGGGGGTTGTGGGGGGGTGTGCGGATGGTGGGAAAGGAAAGTCTTATGTTTATATTTCACAAGCCCACAATGTTCCAACACTCTTTGCAAATAAGCAAATGCTTCAAAATTGTGCTCGCTGTTATACTGTAGAATAATCAATACAAGCCAGGTGACAGTGAGTGTGAGTTATTGATGTTATGAAACTTACCCACATCTCATGGGGGGTTGTCCCTAATCCACTGCAGATGAGATGCTGGAGACCACCAGTTCATTGTGGGAATAATCACCTATAACCTGAATGCTTCAGAGGAGTTTTCCCTCTCTGTCCATATGTGATCTTTTGTTTTCACCTTCTGCTGAAACCCAGGTTTCTAAATCCCTTGAGTCAATATTTACAATTTTCACTTGAACGGACTCTGTACTTGTGCAATGTGACACGGAAACCAGCTGGACCTGACACTTTTTACTGTTGTTCCTATAACCACCCTCTGTTAGAAATAAAACCTCTGCAATGTTACTGTTTAATTAAGAGATTAAGGAAAGCTGTATTTGTTTGCATGGGGAGTTCGCCATCAGGACAAAATGGGGACAATCACGCACTCCCTACTTACCACATTTTCTCACCAGAACTGAGATGCCAACTGTAGCTCAGATGTCTGCATGCTCACCTCTTAGCACTGACCCTCTGACAGTGCGGTACTCCCTCAGCACTGACCCTC